CCACAAAAGAGGTTAGAAGCCAAAACTTTGCTTTTGCAATTCGGCCAACTCATTTGCCGCACACTCGCCCCTCGCTCCGTTTGGCAGCTTCCTTTGTGTGTGGATTGCTGGCGAGTTGATTTTATAAAGCCTGCGTCCTGGCTACTGTAGCCAAACGTTGCCAAACGCTTGTCAGTGGCAGCCCGGCCAGCAGCAGGCGCAGCGCCTGCCAGTTGCTACAAAACTTTCATTTGTGTTCGAACCAACTTTGATGAGCTGCGGTTTTTACAGGGGCGTTGTGCGAAAATTATGTGCTCGGCCCATTGAGCAGGGCGTGTTGCACCATTAAGCACTGCACGGGCCAGACAGTGAGGTTGTGCGGAGAGGGGGGCAGGCCCGTGTCCAGTCAGCCGGGCAGCCAGGCAGCCGTAGTCAAGTGCATTTGCATAATTTGCTGCGCTGCGTAAAGTTTTTGCTGCATATTGGCCAAGTTTTCTGGTTAAGTCTGCATGTTTATTAAGCAATCAATTATAAAGATTGCCGCCGCACATAGTTCCAGCGCATATTGATTTTCAGAGCCTGCGGCTTCAGCATTCAGAGCCAGGTGGGTCACTCACTGATCGGCCCAATATTGGCAAATATTTGGCCAAGCTGGCAAGCCAGCAGGTTGGCAGGCAGCTTCATCAATGTAATCAATAAATGTCCTTGGGTTGTGGCAACGATTGCTTGATAAATAGATTAAATGGCTGTGGAGTGGCCTGTTTTGGCCTGTTAACGATACCACCCCAGCTGTTTACCTAGCCCAAAACTCAACTCATTTGGGGAGTTGCTGCTGCCACATAAAGTTTTACGACATCTGAGCCCGATCGGAATGTTGTTCAATAGTTGCGCCTTTGGCCTGTCGGCAACATTTGCATGCACGCTCTTTGGGAATCAGAATGCATATGCATATCTATATACCATGTACTTGTTGGCTTGTCTGTGCGCCTGCACTTATATAGAATTGCAAAACTTTGGCATAAAGTTTGGCGCTTTACATGCAAACTTGCAATTGACAGCAGCCGAAAGAAACGTGCTGCAAAGTTACTTTAAGCTGTTGTTGGGTAGAATTCTTTGTTTTAACGACTTAGTTTGCGGTCAATGTTTTGTATCCTTTCTTCCTGCCATTCTCTCAGTTGAAACAGCTTCTGCTTGTCACTCAAGCAGCTAATGTGAAGTACAAACAACGATTGCCAGTTCAAACTGTATAAATTCCAACTAATTCACTTAAGGTGTTCAATTTAGTATAGCTTAGTCTTCCTTCATCTAAACTTTGTACGTGCTGTGCTGTATAGAACCCGCAAAGGAATGCATATAACAGCACAAACAAAATTAATATGTATAATATTAATTTTTATTGCAACAACTACAGATGCTGCTGGAGTTGAACCGGCTACTGCTCATTTTATTGTTGGGGCTTGTCATTTAAACGTTCTAGAACCGCGTCTTAGGGCTTACATTCGAAGCAAAGTAAAGCTTCAGTATAAGTCTAAGCTAGACTTTGTTGATATGATTCTGAAAGAAATGAAATGTCGACACACAATTACAGCATCATAAATAAATGAAGTTTTTGCTCTTTTCTTCATTTAAAGCCTGATATACCTAATATAAAAGTATGCCTTGTTGATATGTGTAGAAAGGAATTCGTGGTTGCATGTATCGTTTGCCATTGGGACAACTAGCACGGCAAAAATGTAATCCTTTCAGCTTTAAAGGATGCAAAATGTCGCTGCTTTTGTTCCGATTTCAGTTTTGATGAGGGTCGGGTCGCACAGCTGGCGCAGCGAACGAGGTCGCACTTGGCGTGTGGTTGGTGCTTTCAATTAAAATTTCAACGTGCACGTAACTACTTTTATTGAAATTACGATTGCAGGCAGCTGCACACACACACACACACACACACACACACACACACACACACACACACACACACACACACACACACACACACACACACACACACACACACACACACACACACACACACACACACACACACACACACACACACACACACACACACACACACACACACACACACACACACACACACACACACACACACACACACCTACACATACCTGCCAGCACATGTATATCTGCACATTCAAACATGTCCACTGGCAGCGCATGCTTCATTGCATACTTTGCTGGGCGTGTGTGTGCGTCTACTTGCCACCATTTGTGGCTGCTGCCTCTAATGAAGAGCAAAACACAAAGCTTTGGCCTAGCTCACCATTCTCACAGTGGACGAATGCGCAACAAATGAATGAGCTGACATATCTCCGGCACGCAAATTCCAATTCCACAATGGGAACCGAATGAAGGTCAACTGGGCGGCATTTTAGCATTGGGGCATTTAGCTGCGATAACAAATATTGCGGATATTTGATTAATGTTTTTGGGTTAAGCAAAGGGGGAGGGGGGGGAATTGAAGTCTAGTAGTTTTGCACAGCAACAACAAACGAGCTTCGACAGTGACAATAAAATGTTCCTGCTTTCTATTCATGTATTCACATAATCCAAGATGAAAAATAGATTTTACCAAAAAAAAAAAAGTTTGTAGAAAAAAAATTTAACTGCGCAAAATGCTGACAAGGACATTCCGCCATACTGAGCTCAACATGCTGTCGTTGGGGCGGCGGGGCAAGGGGGCGTGGCGGTTTGCTTGGCTCGCCTGGGATGTTACATCAGCTAAATGCTTAAGCGCACTAGTCGGAATACCAGAAAGAAAAAAAAAAAAACAGAGTACAAATTTAAAAAAAAAAAAAACAAAAGCCAAAAAATAAACTAAGCGACCGGCGACAGCGCTGAGCGCTGATGGAACCAGCTTGCGTGTTGCTTTCTCTGCTTATTTCACTCTCTCTCTCTCTCTCTGCGTTTCTCTCTTGCTTTCTCTCTCTCGCTCTCATCTTAACACCATTTCTCTGTATGTCTTGCCCACTGACTTTGCTACATGACAATGAAAATCTCTGCAGTGCATTTGTATGTCTGCCTTTTGATGCCCTTGTGCATTAAACTCTATCATCAGCTTCTAGACTGTTAGATACTTTTAATTTGTGATTTATCTCTTATAAAAACTGGCAGCTAAAAATAAATGTGATAAATATAATGATTTTATTGGAATTGGGCAATTTGAAGGAGATTTAAAAGTGTTGGAAAGCAATAAATGCAACTAAAAATTATTAAAAAAAATTAATTAATATTGTTGATAATTTTTTTATTAATTAATTTAGAAAATATTATCTTTCCTCAAATAAGATAAGATATTGGCTGTTAATGAATTTGCAAAAATATTATTATGTATGATTATTATGTTACAAATTCTCCACATAAATTATTGCTTCATCTGAGAAAGTGCTATATCTATTATGATTTAAGAATTAATTGACCAGCATGATTACATTACTTAAATCTTTAAAACAATAATAAGTATAATCATATTATACGTGCTTGTATTTATTTGTTTTTAGAATTCCTTATTCGAATTGTATGTTGTCTCCATTTTTAAATTAACTGTCTGTAAATTCAATTTTCATAGAATTTTTAAACAAGTTTCTGTATAGTTAGTTAGTGTTCTTTTTTTGGTTAGGGTATTAGAAATTCGTTGCACTTCTTTGCCGGATTGGTTTGTCTGTTTTTCTTTGCTGCCGCTTCGGTGCTTCGTTTGGAAATTGTCATTTTAGTATTTGGAATTCCCAGCTCTGCTGATTTTCTGCTGTTTCTGCAGTTTTTCAGCTTCCTTTTTTCCTTTTGCCGCCGCCCTTGCCGCCGCTCTCATCTATGAACATTTGGTTGGCAATGCTGAATTAAACCAATCACTACTATTTTCACACTTAACTTGCAATTTGCATAAAATATTACCCAAGACCCAACAGTCAAGCAGACGTTGTCACTGGGGATAGCACATTTGGGGTGGCCTACGATGGTGGGGTGGCGGAGCTTTTTGCTTCTTCTTCTTCCTATGCTGAAGGATGGGCGGAGGGTTTCAGAAGATGTTGGCGCTTGCAAATAAGTACGCAGCCATTGACAGTTGCGTGCGAATTTCTTTTTATTTCTTTATATATATTTTTCACCAACACACACACACACACACACACACTCATACACAGGGGGCATTGAAAATGTGTTTAGTTCTGCAAAATAAAAATAGAATGAAAAAAAAATCATTTTATGTGCTTCCAACACGCGCGCGCGCTGAAATCTTGACTTTGTTCTTGTGTGTGTGTGAGATTTTTTTATGCTCTTCGAAATGTGTGAAATGATTAAATTTTAGCTACAAGTGTATTTCATTTATTCGTGTTCAGTTTAGTATATCTCCAGCATGTGTTTATGCAGAGCATGCGTGTGCAGTCATTAGTGCAAATGTTGCCTAAAACTCGAAAAACTATGAAACTTAACTAAACGCAACTCGTAACAAACCATTACACTACATTTAACAAATGGGTTAGCACACGCAGACAACGCCAAAGCGGCGCGGCGGGTTAGTTTGGTGCACCGATTCGCCCCCTCCTTTCCTACACCCTTAAGCATAGCTTTAATGTGTGTGCCTGTGACGAGCGCTGACAAAGGCTTTTCAAGCAGCTACGCGCACTCAGAGGACATTAAATGCCCGTTTTGCACATGTCCGAAACAGAGAAATGGCCTCGTTCCGTTCTCTTGGCCAACTTGCCGTAGGTGTTCCAGACAAAGGTAAAGTGCGTGGGCTGTGCGACTGCCAGGAAAGTGAAACCTAAACTAAAAAGACGACGAGCATTCTAGTGTAGACTGCCCGACTATGTGATACGCTGTTTGTCAACCCAGCTTCAAGCTTCACCCATATATTCTATAGCATATGATACAGTTGTCCGATGTTGAACAGTATTGGAATAACCTCTGTTTTTTGTCCGATCTTAATACAATTTTGAGGGCAAAAGCATGGCGTACTAATGATTTTCATAGAAGACGAGGAATATTTTTAGCATTTATTTATTTACCAGTAAAATTTGTAATTGTCTATCTACTTGAGACGTGGAATTCAAAATATTGCGGGATTCTCTCTTATATACTATTTTGCGGTGCCAACGGGCTATCAAGCTCTTCCTAAGAAAAAGAAAAAATTAGATGGTTTAGAAAGCAACTTGCCACATGCCGGAGCGAGTCGATTTACGGGCTGTGTGCGCTTCTCCATGCACCTAAATGTGTACCAATGCTCGTCAATGCCAAGCTGCTCGCCATCCTGCAGTGAACTGGGTAGCGTGCGATCTAGTGTCTCCGGCAGCAGCAGGATCAATCCGGCAACCAGCAATGTGAGCACGCCCAGAATGATTTCCGGCAGCAGGATGAAGATTTTGCGCATATCGAAAATGCAATTTGCCCATATTAGGCTCGCAAGGTCCATGGTAAAGAGTGCACCCAATGCCTGACCACGAATACAAGCTGGAAGTAGCTCCAAGGTGTACTGCGTATTTGAGTTGACGGCAAGGCTGTGAAAAAACATCCCAATAACATAACACGTGAATAGAGTTCTTGCCGCTGTGGGCGAGAATACACAAAGTTGGCATAGTTTTGATTGCTGGCAAGTATTGTAAGCGAAACCAAATAAAAAATTTAAAACAATTTGTTTGTTCTCAACTTGTTTTCCTATGTTACTCCACAATTAATATTTTAATTAAATATTAATTTTCACTTGCACACCAATAAATGTTACCCAGCTATATTAATTAGTAAGAGGATCTAGTCAAGAGCTCCCGACTAGCGAATACCCTGAACCCTCAAATGCAGATCACGGTACGAGCGCGTTTGCTTTACTGCTAATACAAATAAATGAAAAAAAAAGCTTCCGCCGATTTGACTCGAACACGTAACAGATCGCACTTCTTGCCACCGCCAATTGACTCCCAGCGGAAAAAAACGAATTAAAATAGCAACACATACAAAACAATCGCAATTGCAATGCTGTTTATAGAATTAAGTATAGACGCGCATCTCTGTTTGTCTAAAAGTATACAGAAATTCTTGCAATTTTCGCTAACTGACCCAACCACGTGGCCAGCACAAAACACATTTTCTTGAATAACTTTTGTGTTTCTTACCGATCTTGCTGACATTTTCTACATTTACCAATTCAAATTGGTGATTTTCTTACTTGATTTATAGCTATGTGCTGGTAATGGGGAGGTGGTGAAAGTTATTTGATATATATATTTAGACCTACCAGGAATTATAAACCATCGGGATCTCACTGACCACTCCCAGCTATAAGCAGGGGCATAGCTTTTCGGACAGGCTGTAAATTTTCCCGCACCAGGTCGTCGATTTTCAATTACTATCTCTTTATCCTATTAACCTAACATTCTAAATATTTAGTTAAAATTTATTTACTTTATTACCAACTTTCTTTCTTTCTTTCCTTTTTCCTATTTTTTGTAAGGTTTACTCTATTTTCTCTACTAACACCCTTCTTATAAGCTATAGGCTCTAACAGCGTCACTGCCAAAATACATTTAACAAATATATATAGGACTTACAACGATTAGCAGCGGTTGAGAAGACGACGCCCGATACCAAAATGAAAATGCACATGAGGATCACTATTGTAAAAGCCAACGTCTTGCGTCCGATACGATCTTGCAGGACAATTGCTGCCAAGCTGGAAGGCAATAAGGCAGTTGCAGACAGTGAGATAATTACAAAACGCGAAATCTCAACACCACTCAAACGATAAGTGATGATACTGATGTAGAAAGAAAATACGAAGCTATTTAGATGTGCGTATGAGGGCATAGAAAGAGAGTGATGTACATTAGAAAGTTTATTCAATGAGATGTCTACTCACTATTCAAACAACAAAATTAACAAGGTCCGGCGTAGGCGCGGCATCCTGAAGAGGTGCAGCAGATTTGGATTGGTCTTCGTATTTTGCTGACTTAATTTGCAGTCCTCAATGAATTCCTCATATACGCTGTCATCAATTTGGCGGCCATTAGTCTTGGCCACACGTCTCAGGGATTCTATAGCCTCGTCATATTTCTGCCTTGAGATCAGCCATTGTACGCTCTCCGGCACAAAATAAAAGAAAAACGGCACCACAATTATTGGCAGCGCTTGGAGAAGCATGAAACGGCGCCAACTACCTGTGAGGATCGCTATCCAAGGTGAAATTATCATGCCCAAACAGAAAAAGAAACCATAAGAGATGTTCAGGCAAACGGTGCGCAAAGAAGGACGCATATATTCCACAACTACGGGATTATTGTCGATTAATTAAATATTCTCTAACGCTGGAATTAATTGCTCACTAAGAATGCGAATAATCGAAAAGTTGCTGATAACGACAAAACCGGTAATAAATTGAACAACACAAAAAAGTTCCAGACTTATGCCAAAAATTGTCAAAAAGTTGTCCGATATGGTCATGACATTGGCAAAAACAAGTATTGGCACCCGACCCAGTCTATCTGCCAAATAGCCCATAACTAGATTGCCTATCGCGCAGCCCGCACGTGCAATGTTGTTTCCCAGTTTCATTTTCCACGCCTTATCACATATCCAGTTCATTTCACTGACAAAACTCTGATAGCCCATGTATGATTCATAGCTGTAGTTTTTGCAGGTGTCAGAGGTGCTTGAGTTAGTATAGAATGGCTTGCATTCGTCTGCATTTGGTGGTGGAGGCCCCGAGCCCAGTCCATCAGCACACCTGGGTGTTATGAACAGACGTTAAGTATACGCCATGCTATTAACATTTCTAATAATACTAGAGCCCTACGTCGGTTAACTCATGTGAATCAGACTCGGATACTCAATTGAAATTGGAATTGAGCTTATTTCTTTAATTGAGCCGAATTTTCGGTCGAGTTGACCGACACATATATTTTTCTGCTCAAACTGAAACGGATCGAGGCAATACAATTTGAGTCGGGTATCCGAAACGCGAATCGATTCAGTCAATGCAGGGCTCTATTACATACCAATGCTTTGGCACAGTATAAATGATCGAGTATGATATGTTAAGCATGGCCGATAGTAAACTGATCAGAGCAGAGAGTAGCAGCATGATTAGCTGCTGTCGATTGAAATCGCCGCATTTTTCCAACATTTTGTCCACTTCCAACATTGTGTTATTTACATAAATTTCTAGCACGTGCGTGAACCTTCCCCTTACTTGTAGTGCTGCACTATTTCATGAAAAAAACAAGTTTAATAATTTAGGTTTGACAGATTTTTCAGGTAACAGTCGTGTGTGTATAATGCTTTTAAAGTAAGATTAATGAATATCAAGTGTATTACTATATATGTATAAATACGTACTATATTTATAGATATATGATTTTGTAGACACAAGTAGATCTTCAAACTCTGGTATGACTAATACTAGTAGTGTTGTTTTGTACCCTTCCACCAGTAAACAAAAATAAATAAAAATAAAAACATTATTTCGCTCATTATGATTCGACTTCGTAATGTACCGCTCTACTTGTAACCGCCTCTACTCAACAGCAACACTTACAATTGATTCTTAGTCTTCATAGACATTGAGATCGGAGATTTAATCCTTGAAAGCTTCGAGAACTTCGAGTATTGCTCAAACTAAAAACTTTTCTTCCGCCTACTCTATTTTATGTGTAGTATTCCACAGCTTCATAGAGTCCTTGCTCCGTGGCTCTACATTCTTTAGACAGCCGACATGCCGAGGGTAGATCAGACGATACTAGAGCATTCCGATAGCTTCAACCTCGCCACGTTCGCCGACAACACAGCAATCCTCTCCAAAGCCAAAGACCATCTGCTAAAATGCCTTCACGTGTTTGAGACGTGGCGAATTGTCATCAACAAGCAGAAATAGGTGTTCTCCAGATAGAGACACGTCGTTAGGTGTTCCTCCAAGGAGAACTCCTTGAGCATAAAGACGGTCTTCGCTACCTTGTAGTCGACCTTGATCGCAGGCTCATTTGGAGCAAACATCAGGCTCATTTGAAGCAAATGTCACAGTGTAAAAAATGCAGATTTCTCTGTACATTAATTTGCGCAAAGATATTATACCCTTTTTATACCCTGAACCCATTAAAAATGGGTACAAGGGTATATTGTATTTGTGCAAAATCCAAATGTATGTAAAGGCAGAAGGAAGCATCTCCGACCCCATAAAGTATATATATTCTTGATCAGCATCAATAGCCGAGTCGATCTAGCCATGTCCGTCTGTCTGTCCGTCCGTCCGTCCGTCCGTATGTATGAACGCAAGGATCTCAGAACCTATAAGATATAGAGACTTGAAATTTTAGATGTAGATGCTCCTAGTTCCCGCGCAGATCGAGTTTGTTGTGATGTTGTGATGTGATGTTGGAAGAAGAGGCTTCAGGGTATCCCCTAGTCGGGAGCTCCAGACTAGAACCTCATACTTGTTATCAATTTTTAATGGGCTCAGTTATACCCTGATACACTTATACATTTATATGTGAGTGGGAGGATAATGTGAAAGTAAAAATTAAAGCCATTATCCTTGCACTCACGCAGAATGTACAATATTGAATAGTCCGAAATATCCAGAAAACAGACTTGTACCAAAGATTGACAAAAAGTACCCATCATAGAATTGAGACTGGCCAAAATACGAGTGGGCAGCCAAAGCACTCTGTCCCCCATATAGTCCAGAACAAGAGTGCTTAACACACAGCGAAGACTCTTCCAGATTGTTTCCACGCCTTATCGCACATCCAGTTCGTTTCGCTGGGTAAATGTCGATTTGATGGTGGTGCCCCCGAGCCTAGGCCATGAGCACACCTGGGTGTTATTGACAAACGTTAAGTATACGCCATGTAATAAATATGGTTCTTTTACATACCACAACATTGATTATCGCTTAAGATTCGTAATGCATGGTCAAGATCTCATTCAGCAGACTAGCGAGTATTTGTTTTGTTTTGTTCACTTCCAACATCGTCTTATTTATGTTTAAAGCATCTGCTGCATTTATACTAGCTGTGTGCCTGTGATAAGAACAGAGACTGACATTTAACGCTTCGAGAAACCGCTAAATGTTATGATTTAGATTTGATAGGTATTACAGAGAATTGTCTGAGTGTGTTGTAATGCTAGGGAGATAATTTTCAGCACAGAGCCCTGCATGGAATACACTAAAACGTGTTTCGCATATTCGAAAGAATATTTGTCGCGCAAGTAAGGTTTCAAATATATCAAGTAGCGGACAAAAAATTGAGTCGGTCGTCGACTCGACTATTTCAATCGAAAATCAGGTAAAATTGAGAAAGTAAGGATATTTTCAGCACGCCTAAGATTTGATGCATTCCTTCCTTCCAGTAATTGAAATTTTGTTGAAGTATCTTTGAAAACAGAATATTTTGCATTATAAGAACCCACTTCTCCACCGATCTTTCCGTTCTATATGATATTGTTGTCCGATATTAAAAAGTATTGGAAATTTAATGTTGAATAACCTCTATTTTTGTCCGATCTTAATAAAAGTTTGAATGCATAAGTATGGCTATCAAATGTGGGTCAAGTTAAATCAATAGGCTCTAACATTAAAAATTTATTATTTTCAATATGTGGGGGAATATCCAAAAAAGATACACTCCAAATACATACCAGATTCGGGATGTCTAGGTCCTATAGCTCACGAATTTTACTTAGAAAACCAAGTCTCAATATCAATTAGTATCCAATATTTTGGAAATGGAACAAGATACCGACAAAAAATTATGGTAATATTATATAAAATGTATGGTAATACATATATAGATATAAGGATGAGGGTATAGGCATACCTACCGATAAATTAGAATATGTGGGGTCGAGGTGGGAACAAGCAAGTTTGAGTTTTGGTGGAACAATGATATTCAAAGTTCAAGAAAAGCAATTGGAATAGAACAGAAATACTCTACCTTCTTATATCACGTTTCGCGGTGCCAACGAGCTATCAAGCTCCACCTGGGTGGGAAAAATTAGATGGTATAAAAAGCAACTGCCGGAGCGAGTCGATTTACCAGCTGCTTGCGCTTCTCCATGCACCTAAATGTGTACCAATGCTCGTCAATGCCAAGCTGCTCGCCATCCTCCAGGGAACTGGGCAGCGTGCGATCCAGTGTCTCCGGCAGCAGTAAGACTAAGCAGGCACCCAGCAAAGTGAGCACGGCCAAAATGATTTCCGGCAGCGGGAAAAAGATGTTATGCATGCTCGAAATGCAATCATTGAATATTTCTAACGCATAGCTTATGGAATAGAGAGAACCCAATGCCTGACCACGCACACATGTCGGAATAAGCTCTATGGTGTACTGAATATTAAAAAAAAAGGCAAGATAACTAAAAACGCTCCCAATGACATAAAACGTAAATAGAGTTCTTGGCGCTGTGGGCGAGAATACACAAAGTCGGCATAGTTTTGATTGCTGGCAAGTATTGTAAGCGAAACTTAATGCAAAATTTAAGAAAATTTGTTTGTTTTTAAATTGGTTTACTATGTTAATCTACTAAATATTAGTTGTCACTTGAGCACCAATAACTTGTAATTTCCTAAGTAAATGTTACCCAGCGATATGCATTGATTTTGTATTATCAATATAAAACAAGTAAGAGGATCTAGTCGAGAGCTGCCGACTAGCATAGTACCTCTTTTGGTAGTAGCAAATGCAGGTAACGGTCAAATAAATGAAAAAAGAAAAAAAAAACTTCCGCCGATGGGACTCGAACCTGTAACAGATCGCACTTCTTGCCACCGCCAATTGACTCCCAGCGGAAAAAACGAATTAAAATAGCAACACATACAAAACAATCGCAATTGCAATGCAGTTGATAGAATTCAACAATGACGCGTATCTGTGTTTGTCTACATGTAAATAAACTCCTGCAATTTTCGCTAGCTGCCCCAACCACGTGGCCAACAACTCCATTGCTGATGCTTTTAGAAAATTGTGTTTTCTAATTATGCTTTTAGCACTTAATTTTTATAATTTGATATGTTGAATGATTAGGAAGACACTCGTTTTCGACGACTATTTAATAAATAGATAAAAACATGTATATATATACTATTCTAGAAGCTACATGTCGAGGTTGCTGACTCTAGGTTTTATAACTTATGAGATTTGCCCAAAGAGCAGGATTTCGACTTTAATTTTTATCGATTACTTGGAAACGGGGCAAGTTAGCGATTGTCGGAAACAAACTCGTGCTGCGCGGTCACTAGGAGGACGTACATTCCAAAGAATCCTAGCGGTCATAGTTACGGACTGACGGACACACAGATGGACATGGATAAATCGACTCGGCTATTGATGCACGTGCAATATTAAAGTGTATTTGGCAAAACACCGATGACTTATCGATATGTGGCCGTTAACATAACGATAAAGTGATAATTTGATTAATACGATTGCAAACAACTGACTCATGCATCGTGCGTGAAAATTTGCAATACTTTGTCAAAATAATGGAAACTGTTCTTCAGCACAAAAAACTTAATAGATTCAACAAAACAATTCAAGACTTACAGCGATTAGCAGCGGATGAGAGGACGACGCCCGTTATCAACATGAAAATGCACTTGAGGATCACTATTGTTAAAGCCAACGTCTTGCGTCCGATGCGATCTTGAAGGACAATTGCTGTCAAGTTTGCAGGCAGAAGAGGAGTTATAGATAGTGAGGCCATTAAAAATGTAGAAATGCCAAGGCCCTTCACATGATAAGTGACGACATTGTCGTAGAAAGGATATACGAAGCTAAGTAGATGAGCGAATGAGGGCGTAGAAACAACAGTTTGTTGGACATAATTATTCATTCGATGAGATGTCTACTCACAATTCAAGCAACATTATTAAAAAGGTGCGGCGTAGGCGCGGCATCCTGAAGAGGTGCAGCAGATTTGGATTGGTCTTCGTATTTTGCTGACTTAATTTGCAGTCCTTAATGAATTCCTCATAGACGCTGTCATCAATTTGGCGGCCATTAATCTTGGCCACACGTCTCAGGGATTCTATAGCCTCGTCATATTTCTGCCTTGATATCAGCCATTGTACGCTCTCCGGCACAAAATAAAAGAAAAACGGCACCACAATTATTGGCAGCGCTTCGAGAAGCATGAAACGGCGCCAACTACCTGTGAGGATCGCTATCCAAGGTGAAATTACTATGCCTAAAAAGTAAAAGAAACCGTAACAGATGTTCACGCAAACGGTGCGCAAAGAAGGACGCATATATTCCACAACTGCGCGATGATTGTCGATTAATTAAATATTCTCTAACGCTGGAATTATTTTGCTCACGAAGAATGCGAATAATCACAAAGTTCCCGTTAATGACGAAACCGGTAATGAATTGAAGTATACAAAAAAGTTCCAGACTCATGCCAAAGATTGTCAAAAAGTTGCTCAATATGGTCATGACATTGGTAAAAACAAGCATGGGCACCCGACCCAGTCTATCTGCCAAATAGCCCATAACTAGACTGCCTATCAAGCATCCCGCCAAGAACATGGAGTTTCCCTTGCTAAGTTTCGACTTCTCATCGCATATCCAGTTCATTTCACTGATAAAACTCTGATAGCCCATGTAATGCTCATAGTTGTACTTTTTGCAGGTGCCAGAGGTGCTTGAGTTAGTATAGAATGGCTTGCATTCGTCTGCATTTGGTGGTGGAGGCCCCGAGCCCAGTCCATCAGCACACCTGGGTGTTATGAACAGACGTTAAGTATACGCCATGCTATAAACATTCTTATTACTACTAGAGCCCTGCATCGGTTAATTCATGTAAATCAGACTCGGATACTCAATTGAAATTGGAATTGAGCTAATTTCTTTAATTGGGCCGAATTTTCGGTCGAGTTGACCGACACATATATTTTTCTGCAACTCAAACGGATCGAGGCAATAAAATTTGAGTCGGGTATCCGAAACGCGATTCGATTCAGTCAATGCAGGGCTCTATTACATACCAATGCTTTGGTACACTATAAATGATCAAGTAGGATATGTTAAGCATGGCCGATAGTAAACTGATCAGAGAAGAGAGTAGCAGCATGATTAGCTGCTGTCGATTGAAATCGCCGCATTTTTCCAACATTTTGTCCACTTCCAACATTGTGTTATTTACATATAATTTAAGCACGTGCTGAATTCAATTCGTCATACACCTCTGTCAGGACTAGGGACTTCCCAGGACTTGCTTCTAGTTAGCCAGTGCACTCAATTTACCGGTGCACTATTTCATGAATAAACAAATATAACAATTTGGGTTTGACAGATTTTTCAGATAACTGTCAGTGTGTATATAATGCTTGTAAAATAAGATTAATGAATATCAAGTGTATTACTATCTTCTATATGTTTAGATATATGATTTTGTAAGGTTAATAACAATAACAAATATACCACACTAGTAGATCTTCAGATTCTGGTATGACTGATCGACTTTGTGAATACTAGAGGTGTTGATTCTACCCCGTTCTGTACCCTACCACCGATCAGGTCTCTTTATTTTCCTACGTGCTTGTTTCATAATTTTCATCAACGAACCGACAAGGAATCAATTAGCATCGACAAAAAAGTTAATTTCCAAGCTTTCTGACCTATTTGATATCTTTGTTGAGAATAAATCGAAAACAAGTAAAAGGTTCTAGTCGGTTCTAGTCCCCCTAAACCGGGGATTTGATTAAGTATATATATATATATAAATATCCTCTTGTGGTTGGAGAGTTCTATGTTTCTATGTTTCTATTTCGAGACAAAACTATAAAAAGGCATTGAACAGAGTGCTTTGGCAAAAGCCACTCTCTGATTGCGAAACGGATATTTAATTGTTTAATTACAGCATGTATTGCATCGATTGACAAGCAATGCGAATGTTGTTACACAAATGATTAAATCAGATCATTTAAATGTAACAACATATTTGGCCCGAATCCGAATTCATTTCGTGCAATTGTCCCGGGGGCAGGCTGCATGAGTAAAGGCTCTAATGTTGCAACTGGTTTTGTTAGCAGCCTTCAAAGCACTCAAATGCCAGCAAACAATGTGCACACACACACACACTCGCACAAAAACACACACAGATATTTAAACACACACACACACACACACATGCACACATTTGCAGCGTGAAGCACTGGCATTGTGTTAACAAATACACTTAGGCAAACACATAATTTCGAGTATTTAACTAAAATAAACAGGGTGTAAAACATTTGATTGCATGTGATGGCCCCTTGCCGCTGTGTGTGTGTGTGTTTGTGTGTGCCCCTCCCCCTAGTCTGCCATGTCATGCCCATGCTGCAGTGTCATGTGTTTTTTTTCATGCCACGTTTACGCTTTGCATTTTAACAGTTACACTCGCACAGACACTGGCAAACAATCGGACACACACGCACACACACACACAGAGAATATTTGCATTTCAGTCACTTGCACTTTTGACTGCTACTGCTACTGCTACTGCTACTGCTGCTGCTGCTGCAGCTGCCGGCCCTGCGTTGTATTGTGCCCCGCGCCCCGCCCTTTTTGGCAGCTCTGATCCTTTTGCTCGGCTCTGTCTCTCACATTTGCCTTTTTTGCCTGGCACTTTAGCACATTTCCATTTGCAATTGTTATATCCTGCTTTGTGCTCAAACACATTTGTGGGTGTGTGTGCGTGTGTGTGTGTGAGTCTGCGTGCCTCAAGCATTTTGCTTTCTTGCATTTTATATTAAACAATATGTCGCTTAAAGAGTGCCACGCGTGAATATTCATAAAAAAAAAACACACACGGAAAAAAAACTTGGCATGCAGCTAATTAAAAGAGCTGTAAATTACGCGAGATGTGAGCCAGCTAAATGCAAATGCACGCCTTAAATAGTTGCTAAGGAGGAGCATGGTTAGGTCTACGGAGAGCGGGTGATGGTGGTGGAGGGAGGGGGGGGGGGGGCACCTGCTGTTTGGCAGTTGTGCCTGGCATGGAACGGTCACCTTAATTAAAATGCACAATTTTGCACTTTTGGCCAGAAAGCGAGCGTTTGCTGCCGCGTTTCTGCTGCATTCGCATTAAAAGCGTTGGCGCCAACTACAACAACATCAAGAACAACAACAACAAGAACAATTACTACGACAACAACAATGTCACCCAAGCACAAAAACAAATAAGAATATGACAGACGATTGCAACGGACTGCACGATACTCGCTCTCGGTCCAGCTTGAAAAGTGCTATACGAATTTCAAAACTTCTTTCAAATAGATCTTCGGAGGAACTCAGGAACTCATTTGAGACACAATTTTTATACCCTGAACCCATTAAAAATTGGTTAAAGGGTATACTGTATTTGTGCAAAATCCAAATGTATGTAACAGGCAGAAGGAAGCATCTCCGACCCCATAAAGTACATATATTCTTTATCAGCATCAATAGCCGAGTCGATCTAGCCATGTTCGTCTGTCTGTCCGTCTGTATGTGTGAACGCAAGGATCTCAGAACCTATAAGAGCTATAGACTGAAATTTTAGATGTAGGTGCTCCTAGTTCCCGCGCAGATCGAGTTTGTTTCCGATAATCGAACTTACTCCGTTTTCAAGCAATCGATAAAAATCGATATCGATATCCTGTTTTTTGGGCAATTTTGGTAAATAATAAGAGCTAGAGTAACCAAACTTGACATATAGCTTCTGAAATATAATTTATACATGCATTTGATGTTGGAAGAGGGTTCAGGGTATCGCCTAGTCGGGAGTTCCCGACTAGAACCTCTTACTTGTTATTTCTTTCAACGCTTAGGTTGTGGAATATTTTCCATATTTAGCGGGCAGGCTCGTGGTTACACACCTTTTGCCTCGATCTCTAAGGGAAGTTCATCAGTAGGTTCACTTGCAAAGTTTAATGATTGGCCTTGAAATTGTAGGAGTTCGTCCTTTACATGGCGAAGCCTGAAATGGTTAAAACCTGGTCAAACGCAAAAGAAAAGTTTTATACTAAAACCTTTTATAAAAAATGTTATAGCTTCTCCCGATTATTCAGTGGGAATAGCTATATGCGGTTGTGGTCGAGAAATATCAGGCATCTCTGAGTACGATTGGCTTGCAAATCTCTCAAAATATTTTAAACAGAATCTCTTTACAAAACAAACAAAAAAATGGTGTTACGGAGAGTTGGAAATGTATTGGAAGTTGTCTATCGTGAGAGTGTTTCTTAAGCCATACAAAAATGCGAGCACATTCCAATTTTACTCTAGCTACCAAATGGCAGCAGGTAGAACCCAAAACGAATATACTCTTCTCACTTTGTGAGCGGGTATCATGAAATCTCTTGGCTACTTCGCTTCGCCCGCTGTCATGCAATTTATTTGCCAACTACTTTACACTTTTTGCATTTGCCTGCCGCTATTCGAGTTGTCCTTTCTCGTATTGGACTTTATTTTTTATGAATTCAACCCCTTGCTATCCGGACATCAACCCTTCAACCCCGCACCCCAGCCGACTGTGTTGTAATTTTGTTGCGGTCTGCGTTCATTTCGCGTATGAGCGAGCGTCGCACTTCGGCAAGCGTCCCGTCTCCAACTGCCCTACCCTCTGTCCGTCCCCTGCCCGTACCCCTGGCCCTGCCATTGTAGCATTCACAATTAAAAAGCTCAACACAAAATTTACATTGTCGCTTGATGGTCGGGCGGCCAAAACTCTGCACAGACATACCAACAGGCAGCTTGTCCGGAGACGACGGACACAGTCGTCATCATCATCATCATCGGCTTAAAGCCGGCCAGAGAGTTGGCTGCCCCGTTTCAGCTTCCGTTCAGCCCAAAATGAGAAACGGGTATATATATGCTAAAATCTAAATGAAAACCGTTTCAAGCACTATAAAGTGCGTAAATGAAAAGTATATATGTATGTGTGCTGCTACGTGAGGTTACTTTTTTTGGTTTGCGCCAATTCTCGGTGAATTGGTGGAAAATGGAATATGGTTTTTCTTGCGAGGCTCAAACTAATTTTCATAGATCTATTTTAAAATTCCTGGAAGGCACCCTCCACCGATTTGTGGTAAACCCGACAATAAAAAGCAGCTAAATTATCTTTCGCTCGGTTTCGCTTGCAATGCTGAAAAATAATTTAAATATGGTTGCAAACTAAATGGAAAATAAACAGTTCTGGTCTAAAGTTGCATGTGCCAAAAATTCTATTCGCATGAAACATTTGGCTTGATCGATATTGAAAGAATGATTCCAGAAGGGGGACCTGCTTTTAAACTTAAGCTAAGAATGCAGAAGATATATATATACAGAAGAGGGTTATGTCCAGCGAGTGAATACTGTGCCGCCATATTACAGGGTATGTAATAGTCAAACATGCTTAATCTTTGTCTAGTTAGTGGTCGGTTGGTTTTTTGGCTAGGCCCGAATATGACGTTGGTGCGCCATAAAATTGTAACGCCACTTTATGCGTTTTATGCTTTATGACCACAAATGAGTGCGCACAATGCTGCAGTCGGACAGTGTCCAGGGGTGTCTAGCTGTCATTCTGCCCTTACCCCCTACACCCTACCATTCCCCCTACCCCACCAACTCGCAGTCTCTGTTGCTGTGCAACTTTTATGCATGCACACATACATAGAATTTGATTATGGCACGCTTGGCATTTGGCTCTTTTTACTTGTATTTTTGGTTTTTCATGTTGCATAAATGCTGAACTTTTTAATTTTAATTGTTAAAAGCTTTTTTTGCTAAAAACGAACATAAAAACCTGGCCACGACAGGCTGACTGCATTCGGGCAACATTAATGCATTAAAACGGCGAGCACACAATCACAACTGTCGTCCCAACAGCTCAAATCCCCGGCACCCCATATTATTTTCCAGCACTCAGCTCTGTTGCGCCAACTGCTGGCTCGCATTTCACATTTTCATATGACGGTCAGTAGTGCGCCATGTGCAACAGTTTTGCCGTCTGATAAATTAAACAACGCACACGCACACGCACGGGTGAGACCCCAAGCCAATCCGTGTGTGCTTCTTTGCAGGCCATAAACTACGCACATGGACGGACGTACCATTGTGGCGGCGCCACGCCCACCTGGCCAGGCCAGATGCCAGAGGCAGAGCGGCTCGTGTGACTGGCTTATGCAATATTAAGCATACGCCATGCTGCCTGCCATTCATAGATAAATTGCCCGCGCGTTTAATATGAAAAGTTATGGCGCTTGCAATTAAAATGCGCCGCAAACACGGCGCGCAACTTTAAAGAATTGCCATTAAATGCGACACAAATCTGGGCATCAACAGATAAATAACCGAGAAATG